TAGCTCGGGTGTAAATTCTCCCCTCTTCCCCCCTCCCCCCCCATTATTTCTCCCTTTTGTAAGAGCCGTTCCGGCTCTGTGTGCGCTTCCTGCCTTGGCTTCTGTGTTCTCCCTGCACCCCCCTTCCTCTGTGTGTGTGTCTGTATTCCCGAGCCTGGTTTATGTACGTCTCAACCTCCTTCTCTTCTTCCCCCAACCTTTGCGATCCCCCAGCAGCCGCTGGACGCAGGAGGGGCCGGCAGACTTACAGCCGCTACCAGACCCTGGAGCTAGAGAAAGAATTTCTGTTTAATCCCTACCTGACCCGCAAACGGCGGATCGAGGTGTCTCACGCCCTGGGACTGACAGAAAGGCAGGTCAAAATCTGGTTCCAGAACAGGAGGATGAAATGGAAAAAGGAAAACAACAAAGACAAGTTTCCCAGCAGCAAATGCGAGCAGGAAGAACTGGAAAAACAGAAAATGGAAAGAGCCGCCGAGGTGGACGAGGAGGTGGAAGGACAGAAGGGGGACAAAAAATAGGATTTTTGAGAACTGAAAGGCAAGCACTGATGGTTTGATGAGATCCTGACTCTTACATTAATGGCAGTTAATGTAAGGGAGGGGAGGGGGGCAGGAAAAAAAACAATGCATAGAAAAGAGAAAAAGAAACCCTTTTATTGCTGTAAAACAATATAGCTGTAAGCACCCACTTTTCCTGATTGTCCTTTGATACAATGAACAGTATGCAAAAGAGATCGGAGGTCTTTCTAGCCTTTTGCCAGTTATTAACTAGTGGTAGTGTAATGCAATAGCTTATGTAAAACATGACTGTGAAATTCTCTCTTCTCTCTCTCTCTCTCTTCTTTCGGGGGGGGGGGTGTTGGTTAACACTGCTTTCAATGCTATAGGAGTTATGTGAAATTACATTGTGCACTTTTTTTGATTTTCCTCCTTTATGTTGTGCTTAACTGTATGTACTGGAGGTAGCTATTGAAACAGACATCCCAACAACATGAAACTGCCTATTTATGCTGTAGTTATCTCTCTCTTCTCTCTCCCCCTCTCTCTCTTGCTCTCTGTCTTTCTGTTCCCTCCTTCTGTTCTTTTGTTCGGTTGGGTTTTTTCCTTTGGTTCTGTTTTGTTTACAATTTTAAGTGTCTCCTCCAAAAGCGTTTTTTTTTCCTCGACTTTAGATAGCATGCGCACAGTGGAGCAAGTTGTAAAGTGATCCTTAGGTTAACTGTGAAAAAAAAAAGAATGTATACTGTATACGTGAATTACTTTATGGGGGAACTAATGATATATTTTGTTGTTCTTTCATCACTTTGTTCTATTGTCTAAACCTGGAAGCGGCGGAAGAAAGTTACAATAAAGTTTACAAGCAAGAATCCCGTGACATCATTCTTTCACCGGGCTTCCTCTCCTCCAGGAGCACTTTGATAGAAAGGGAATAAAAGTCAATTGTGTCACAATCGCAAAGCTGGCCATCAAAGGAGAGTTGGCCCTGCAGAGATCCTGAAGAGTTTAGATTGCTCTGAAGGAGCTGTGGAGGAGTCTGTGGTGCAGGCAAGCCAGTTGGAGGAGGGGGGGCTGGGGGGGGCAAAACAAGCAGGGGTTGTGTTGTTGTTGATTGTGTTGTTAATGTTGTTGCTGCTGCTGCTGGTGACAGTCGAGGTAGTGTGGAAACCCTCCCTGCAGGTCATTCTCTGCCTCTGCATGCTTCTTCCAAGGGACACCCAGCACCCCCCGGATCTGAGCCCCCGCTCTCTGTGGAGGATGGTCAGCTGCGCATGGTATGGCTGTCACGCTCCCCCTTTCGCTGCCTATTGATCTCCTCCACCAGGGCAATACGAAAGGGTGCACCTCTCTCTCTCTCTCTCCCTTGCAATATAACCTTGGGAAGGAGGAACGATGCAACTCTTAGATGCAGATCAATCATGATCGCCTCATTTTTCAGTAAGGCTTTTAATTTTTTCTTCTTCCCCCTCCCCCC